TTTAAGAGAGTCTTATTTATTTTTTTAAGAGTGTCTTACTCTTAAGAGCGTCTTATTTATTTGTTTTTTTTTAAGAGCGTCCCAGGCTGACTCAGAACTTCAGGCTCAAGTGATCCTCCTGCCTCAGCTTCTCGGGTAGCTGGTACTGCAGGCATGTGCCTCTGTGCCCAGCTCTGGGTCACCCCAGCATCTCCCCCCTCCTCCTCCTGGATCTCAGGCACCCCTGTCTGGCCCAGAGGGTCCCAGGGCGCCCCCAAAGCCTGCCCCGCAGCCCTTCCCTTCCCGCTGGCCTTGCTGCTGTCGCAGATCACGCCATCCAGTTATTAAGACTTTCAGCCACAGGAAATGAAGGAAATGAGGCTTTCAGGTCGGAAGCCAAGCTCCGCCATCTCTTGGCTTTTGATAATTGGTGACCTTCACATCCCTTCTCTCTTTCCCTTTCTCTCCCTGCCAGCATCCTGCCCTCTCTGGCTTTTGTTGCCTTTTGCTAAATTACCGCAACTGTTTTTTTTGTTTTCTTTGCGTTTTTTTCTTTGAAGAGGCTCTTTTCTAGTGAAAAGGCACGCGTTCAAAGTGTACTTCGCAGTCCCTGTGTGGCAGCTGCACAGAGCCTGCGTAGCCACTGGCTATGTGAAGCTCCCGCCCGCTCCCTAGGGATCTGTCTCAGGCGTGGGCTTGGCTTCTGGTTCCACCTTTGCGATCTCTAAACAGCATCCTGTAGGTTTTCCCAGGTTTTCTGCTTTCTGTGGACTGGAATCTCCCCCTCAATGGAGCGCTGGCCCCGCTCCCCTGCTGGACCATGAAGTGAGCCCAGCACTCTGGCCTTTTTCACCTCCACTGCCCGGCACCTCTACTAGCGGCTGGCAGTCACAGAGCTCGGTGAATACTGCCAACTTCAGGACCTGCAGGACGCTGGCCTTACTCCTTGGCCAGACAAACGTGACTTTCTATTCCCATGCCACCTTTCACTGGTCATGTGACCTTGACAGATCGTTTTCTGTGTCTGGGCCTCAGTTTCCTCACCTGTAGAGCATGGTGAAATACAACACTCATCTCTGGAAACTTGTAGTCTGGTGCCTGCCATTCTGTCAGCACTGAGGAAGTGATAATCAAGTACGAACCCGATCAACAGTGAAAATCCCCCCTGAGATCTTGTGCCAAGAACAAGCTTATTTTTCCTGGTAAGCTAGATGACTTCCTCTTATCAGACAAGGAGCACAAGGTCGTCCTCTAGTTTCCCTTTTGGCCCTGGATGCCGGGAAGCTCACTACCAAGGGAAGTTCTCCGGAGTGGCCTTTATTTCCTGCTGAGTTTTGGATGCAGTTCTTTCTTCTCGTTCCTCTCCCTGCACTGTGCTGATTCACTTCTGGCTCTATCGTCCACAAGTGTGTTACTTTTTGAGTAAAATATACATACAGTTTGCCATTGTTAGGTGCATATTTCAGTGTCATTAAGTAAATTTACACTGTCGTGCAATGATTGCCATTATCTATTATCAGAACTTTGTAACTGTCCGGAACAGAAACTGTCCCCGTTAAACAGTAACACCCAATACCCCATTCCATTGTCGGATGGACCATATTTTCTGCATCCATTCGTCCTTGATAGACACATGAATTGCTTTTGTCTTTCATCTGTTGTGAATAATGTTGCCATGCAGATGAGCTTGCAGATAATATTTGTAATAAATTGCATGCCTGCTTGTCTGAGTGATGGCAGCGTGATCTGTGAATTAGAAGTAGGTTTCTGCACCACTTTTAGACCCCAGCCCTTGTATCTGCCGCTGCTGGGTATGTGTCTGTCTGCGTGTGGTTGGCATGGTGCTGCCACTAGGTTCTGAAGGTGCATGCATGACCCAGCTATGAGAGGGTTGGTAGCTCATGGCTCAGACCTGTGACTTCCCAGTTGCTTGTCCCTGGCTGCAGGTGTGGCCACTCCCTGGCGTACCTAGGAGCTCACACGGTGCTCTTCCTGCAGGGCCCCCTCTGGGTCAGGCTGGTACCTGCTGTCCCTCCTCCCGAGAGTTCTCCGCCCATAATCTGTGTGCACCTGCATCCCATCACAGATATGTCACTCACTGGTCCCTCCTCCTGCTGTGGGGCTTGTGAAACTGTGGGTGTCGAGCTGGAATCAGTGGGACTAATGACTGACGGGTGACCAGACCACATGGCTAGACACGCTGGCCCTTTGGAAGAGGGTGGGGGTGCACAGTGCCTGCTACCTGTAGAAGACGACCCCACGCTGCTCAGCAGGTGACCCAGGTCTGGGGGAAGGATTCTAGGACTTCCGCCTCACCTGGGCCCTTCTCTCTCCTTTGATTGTAGACAAGAGGCCTGGGGCCTTGAGAGCCCAGCCTGGTAGACAGGAACTGGGTAGCTTGACAGTGCCAAGAGAGAGGGCACGTGGCTTGGTGAGCCGCAGGGCCTGCAGTTCCAGCCATTGTAGCATATCTTGCTGTTGAGCTGGCCCAGCACCGTGCAGCTGCTGGTCTGCGCCTGCCCTTTGTCTGGACTTGGGGGTGGCCTGGGTGGGGGAGCTGATTACTCATGCTTGGTCCTGGCACATCACTGTTGTCTTCTGTGTTTATTTCCCCACTGTCATCTTGGCTGTTTGCAAGACCTACTGTTTTGATATAGTTGCCTTCTGTTTAAGAGGGATTCTCTTCTGAATACTCAGGAAGTTTTAAAGTCATAACCGGGACCGACCTGGGACTTTCTTCTTGTCTAATCACATGTAGGCTGCCCAGTTAAATCAGAATTTCAGACACACAGCAAATGAGTATGTCCTGAATATTGCCTGAGGCATCCTTACACCAGACAGTTACCCATTGTTATCTGAAATCCCACTGGAACTGCACACATCCTGTATTTTTCCTTGCTAGATCTGTAAGCCAGTTCTCATCAGAATCAGAAATTATCTGAGAATCAGAGAAGGAAAGGGCATTTCTTGTCCCATGATTTGACATAGTGTACAGTAGTCCCTGCCCTGTCCATAGTTTTGCTTCCCACGGTTTAATTATTTGCAGTCAATCTTTTTTTTTTTTTTTTTTGGTTTTTCTCCGGTACCAGGAACCAAACTCATGACCTTGCGCTTGCCAGGCAGGCGCTTTTGCCACTGAGCTAAATCCCCAGCCCCTTGCAGTCAATCTTAATCCAAAAGTATTACATGGAAAATTCCATGAATAAACTGAGTTTTCACTCATGCACTGTTCTGAGAAGCATAAGGAAATCTGCAGTGCTGCCTGGGACTTGACTCTTGGTCTTGAGTGTCCACGCTGTATATGCTGCCCCCCTGTTAGTGACCCACTGACTGTCTCAGCAGCTAGATGGTGGTGGTAGCATAGTGCTTGTGTCTCTGTAATCCTTACTTTGCTTAATAGTGACTCCAAAGCACAAGAATAGTGACTCTGGCCTTCACATACATCGAAGAGAAATCATAAAGTGCTTCTTTCACTTCACAAAGATGGAAGTTCTCAAGAAAGAAAAGATAATTATATGCTGAGGTTGCCAAGAGCCATAGTAAGAGTGACCCATAGGACACTTGGGCTCAGTACTGTCTGTAGCTTCTGTCACCCTCTGGGCATCCAGGAATGTTTCCCTTGTGGACCTGGCTGGGGGCTGCTGTGATGTGGTCTGTGCCCCCACTTCCAATGGCGGAGGTTATCCCTAGGGCCACCTTACCTTGTACTGTCCTTGCCAGCCCAGCGAGTGTTTATCAGGGGGCTGCAGTGGATGAGCGTGGGGGCTGATGGATAGGGAGATGGCATCACCCTTCTGGAGGGGTGCGAGTTCAAGGTGAGTCAGGGAGCAGCGAGAACGGCAGGAAGAAGAGGAGCTGGCCCCTGGATTCAGGAGGTCATTGAGGCTGAAACCCATCCTGGGCGCTTTTGATTCTGATGTGTCCAGGCCACCCCGTCCCTACCCAACACCGTGCCTATCCTGGGTGCCACTGCAGGAGCTGTGAAGAGAAGTCAAGTCTGAGGGGACACATACAGTGCTCTCAGCCACCTGTCCCAGCTGTGTCACTCGGGTTGCCAGTGACCCCATGTGTCCTCAGATCCGGACCCCACTCGGATCAGGACCCACAGTCCTGAGAATGTAACCCTCTGCCCAGCTTAGAATGCCTGTACCCCACCTGAGCAGGGGTTTGGTCCACACAGGCCCAAGCTGCAAGAGCCCAGAGGGGTGACCTTGAGCACCCTCTGGCCCTGTCTCCCCTACAGCTGCTCTCTCTGCGCACACTGCCCTCAGAACTATCCCCACCAGCCAGATGCACGCCCAGATGCTGCTGCTGAATGCCGCCGCCTCAGGGTGGCCTGCTGTCCTTCCTTTTCACTCACATGCTGGCTGTGTGCTTCTTGGTTAGCAGAATGGCCCATCAGCAAAGGTGGGGAGTGAGGGGACATGGACCATACTGCCTTTGATGCTCCTGTGTGAAATACGCTAGGATGTGTCACAGACATGGGACAGGTCACGTGTGGATCTTGTAAAAAAAATTACAGCGTTTGCCATGTTCCCAGGACAAACCACTGTCCCCAGCAGTGTGTGGTGTTCAGTTCGGTCCCATGAGCCCCTCAGTTATCCCCGGCTGGCTTCCTGGCCGGCTGGCTCACCCCCGGGTCCAGCCAGAAGCCACATGCATCAGAGGGGCTTTGTCTCAGGCCTCTTCTTCCCTTTTCCTGATGCCCAGAAGGCTATACCATGAGCCCTGGAGGATGCCGCCTCCCCCAGCCTTGCCTGCCTCTGAGCCCTGATGTTAGGCTCCAGGGGCCTTGGCAGGGGTTTGAGGTGTGGCTGACTGTGCATGTGGACTGTCTCCCAAAGGCTCTGTGTGAAGCCTTGGCCCCTCTGGACAGAGGAGGGCTTTTGGGAAGGGACTGGATTCTGACGGTTCTGCCTCCTCAGTGGATTAATCCACTGATGGTTCATAATGGGGATGTAGTAGAGACTTCAGGAGGACTGGGCTCGTGTGGCCTGTCCCACAGGGCAGTCAGACCTTACCTGGTGGCCAGGGCGTCCCAGAGACCAAGGTGTAGCTGCCCGGCTTTAGCATCTCTTTCGCCTGTCTCCTGGCAGAGTAGCCACAGACAGCTCTGTGTCTCATTGGTCAGGTTTGGTCACATGTCCATCTGTAAGCCAATCACAGTGAAGAGGGGGCTGAGCATTGTACTGGGTGTGGTCCTCTCCTCCCTCCTTGATCCCTCTCTATTTGCTCCCACCTGTGGGCTCTCAGTGGGGACCTGCAGGATCCTGTTGTTTTTAGTTTGACCCTGGGGGCTAGGAGTTACTTTTCTTGGCCTCTGCAGGGTCCTGCTGTGTTACTTTTATTTCTTCCCTGTCCTCTCCCCCATTAGGCAGGTGTCTGTTTCCATCCACTGTGCATCCATTTGTCTCTGTTATACAATTTATCTCTTATCTTGGGGGAACACTTGCTTTTTTATTTTTAAAAATTTTTTGATACTGGGGATTGATTGGTACTTAGGACCTTTGCATTGAGCTATATCCCCCATCATTTTAAATTTTTTATTTTGTAAAAAAAATTTTTTTTGGTACCGGGAATTGAACTCAGGACCTTGTGCTTATAGGCAGGCACATGTGCCACCAAGCTATATCCCCAGCCCCTATTTTTTATTTTGAGACAGGGTCTTAGTGAGTTGCTAAATTGCCCAGGATGGGCTCAAACTTGGTGATCTTCCTGCCTCAGCCTCCCAGAGTATTAGGGCTGCAGGCATGCGCCACCACGCCTGTCTGGATGTGTGCATTCTGATTCCCATGAATGGCACTGGCTGTACATTTGGCTGTTTTCTGCCTTTCCCCCTCAGTGGTCTGGGTGGACTGCATGTGGGTCATGACCCTGAGGGTGTCTGAGGAAGAGTCAGAAGCCTGCATTTCTGTCTGCCTGCGTGCACTGTGTGAGTGCTGTCATCCACGGTGTGTACCAGGCAGGTGTCCCTGAGGGCCCCACAGTGCCCGCCGCTGACCATGACCTGAGGCATGGGGACCTCTCCATTGTGTAGATGCAGAGCCAGGGCTCAGAGAGGGCCAGGGCCTCGCCTAGGGGTGCACAGCAAATGAGAGACCGCAGTCAGGCTCAGGGCCTGGTGCTCTGTGTCCTTCTTGGGCCTGGGGTGGGGATGGCAGGAAGCCTGAGACCTGGCCTCACCCGGGTGTGGCCATGATGGGGGTGGCCACAGGGCCAGGTGAGCAGACAAAGGGGACAGGCGTAGTGGGGCGGGAGGGCTTAGACACCCAGCCCTCCCCTTTCCTTGTCCTCTCTGCCTGCCCACCCTTGACTGCCCTGCACGCCTCCACCTGCACCCTCCTGGGCGACCAGTCCTCCCCGTCTGTGGGCTCCTGGGCATGTGTGGTGGCCCTCACCTCCCGCAGGAGCCTCGCCCTGCTGCGCTGCTCCTTCGGCTCCAGCCACAGGGGCCCCAGCTGCTCCTCACCTGTCTTCCTCTGTCCAGCCACAGGCCCTTTGCGCTGGCCCAGCACTGACAAGCTCTGCCCTGGCAGGACCTTTCAGTGTCAGCTCTACGCCCCGCCCTGCCCCCAGAAGCCTTCCTGCCCACACCGGCTGATGGGGCTCTCCCTGCCAGTCCTCTCCTCTCTTCCTTCCTTTGTTTATTTCTTCACTGTGCTCGTTCGTGCCTGACACAGATTTGCGCGTGCACTGATTATGTCCCCGACCCCGGATTATCAGCCTTGGAGGGCGGCCAGGAGCCTGTGTTACTGCTAAGAAACCTTGGCATCTGGAGGCCCTAGGTTGCCCTGGCGCTGCCTGGCCACCGCTGCGGGTGGTGACGCCGGCTGTCACTCTTCCGCTGCCCTCGGGGCTCTGTCCTGCACACCTGGTGCCCACTGTGGCTTCCTCCAGAAACCGCACTGGCATTGCTCTCCACTTCTCCCTCCTGCCTTAATCTTTTAAAAACCTACGTTTTAAAGTTGGAGGGCCTGGGATATAGCTCAGTGGCCCAGCACCTGCCTGGCAAGTGTGAGGCTGAGTTCGATTCCTGGTACCAAAAAAATACATAAAGTTTGATATGACATGTTTAAAAAGCTAGGCATGCCACTTCTTTGTGTTTTCTTTTTTAAAAAATGGGTGCTTTTAGCAAGGAACCACCGACATGAGCACTGCGTCGGGGCTGGGTGCAGAGGGAGCCCTTGCTGGCGGTTTGGGCGGAGCCTGGGGTGAGGCCTGGTCCCAGTCACCGCAGGCTGAGGGGCCTGAGTTTTCCAAGGGTGAAGTGGGGAGGGTTGAAGATTAGAAGGTGGCGTTCGGGCGGCTTGTAGAGGGTGATGGGGGGCCGGGGAGGAGAGTGCTTGGAGGGTCCAGGGGATATCTGGGCTGGGGGACTGCCGAGGGCCCTGGCTGCTGGGCACAGGCAGGTCCCGAGGTGATGGGGAGGTGGGGGAGCTGTGTGGCCCTGTGAGGCAGGACCACTGCTCCTGGTCACCCTGGCATCCCAGGGAAAGGGGGTGGGGGGTCGGCTGCGGATGTTCCCGGGCAGATGGGAGCCGGGTTGGCGCTGGGGCAGCGCTGGATCGAGGGCGGGGTGTCGAGGGGACAGCTGACAGGACGGATGGGGAGGCTGTGTTGGGGTGTCAGGGGCAGTGAGGTGTCTGAGATGTCTTTGCTGGTGCTGGCGGAGGTGGGCAGGAGTGTCCCTGGGGCTCAGCCTGCAGTCCCGGGGGTCCCATGGGGATGGTCCTGCACCCCACATGTCCAGCTGGGGCTGCTGTGGGGGAGTGGAAGTCTGTGCCAGAGCCCAGGGAGCAGCTTGTTCCTGCCCAGGTGGCTTTGAGAGAGCAGATTTGGGGCCACATCAGGACCCCCGCAGCGTCTGAGCCGGTGACTCGCCTGGGTGTGCGTCCGTCCCCACGGCACGGAGTCGTGTGAGTGTGTGTGCCAGGTGTGCCTGGCCTGGGTGCCTGCCCCGGTGCTGATGGGCTTCCTTTCCATCCCCAGGGGCTTGCAGGACCATGGCGCTGCTCTGGGACCCCGCAGGACTCTGGCTGGTGGTGGCCCTGGCCGTGGCGATGGGCCCGAGCCCGGGCGTGGCAGGGCCGTGGCAGGACTGCACGGGTGTCCAGTGTCCACTGCTGGAGAACTGCATCGAGGAGGCGCTGGAGCCGGGCGCGTGCTGCGCCACCTGCGTGCGGCACGGCTGCGCCTGCGAGGGCTACCAGTACTACGACTGTGTGCAGGGCGGCTTTGTGGACGGCCGTGTGCCCGCCGGGCAGTCCTACTTCGTGGACTTCGGCAGCACCGAGTGCTCCTGCCCGCCAGGTGGTGGCAAGATCAGCTGCCAGTTCATGCTGTGCCCCGAGCTGCCGCCCAACTGCATCGAGGCTGTGGTGGCAGCCGACAGCTGCCCACAGTGTGGTCAGGTGGGCTGCGTCCACTCCAGCCGGAAATACCCTGCCGGCCACACCGTCCACCTGTCAGCCTGCCGGGCGTGCCACTGCCCTGACGCTGGCGGGGAGCTCATCTGCTACCAGCTTCCCGGCTGCCATGGGAACTTCTCGGACACTGAGGAGGGGGACCCTGAGCGACACTATGAAGATCCCTACAGCTACGACCAGGAGGTGGCCGAGGGGGAGGCTGTGTCGGCGCTGGTGGGTGAGGCCCAGGCCGGGGCAGGGGCTGCCCCAGCTGCCCTGGGCGGCGGGATCCAGCTGCAGTCCACCATGCAGGCGACTCCCTGGCCGGCGGCCCTCCCCCGGCCCACAGCGGCTGCTGCCTTGGGTCCCCCGGCTCCTGTGCAGGCCAAAGCCAGGAGAGTGACAGAGGACACTGAGGAGGACGAGGAGGAGGAGGAGGAGGGAGGGGAGGGGGAGGAGGAAGAAGAAACAGCGGTCACTGAGCAGCTGGCAGCAGGTGGCCCCAAGGTGCTGGGTGGCCTGCCCACCATGGCCCCAGCCAGGCCCAGCCTCGCTGTCCTGGAGCAGGGGGCAGAAGCCAAGGCAAGGCCTGAGGAGAACCTCATCCCGGATGCACAAGCCACCCCTCACAGCGCTGGGAAGGAGGGCCCTGCGCCCCTGCCTCGGTCAGGCCCAGCTCATGGCGTCCCGTCCTGGGCTACACTGAGCCCTCCCGAGGGTCCCGTCAAACCCAGCACCCACCCCATCCTGGCCATACCGCTGCACCAGGAGGCCCAGGTCCTGCCCACCCTGGGTGTGCCCAAGCTCCAGCCAGCGCCACCCCGTTCCCGGGCAGAGGAGGACGCAGACCCCAACTCTGTCCATTCTGTCCCCAGGGGCAGCCCTGAAGGTAAGAAGCTCTTTTCCTGCTTCTTGTAGGGGTGCTGGTCACTGCCTGGGCCTCCAACAGCTTCTGTGGGTGGATGGTGGGTGGGGTGAGGTCCCCTTCCTGAGAGATGCTGGGTCCCCAGCAGGTGTCCTTCATCCAAGCAAGGGTCTCATGGGGCCTGGTAGGGCCTGTGAGCATCTCAGCAGGACACCTAGGGCTGTGTAGAGTCTGCCCCTCCTCTTCCACGGGCCTGATCTGCACAGCCGCACTGGCCCCAGGGCCTTTGCGTTTGCAGCACCTCTTCCTGGCACCTGCATGGCTTCTTCCTTCCCTCTGCTCTGATCTCCTCCCAGGGGCTCCTTGCCTGGCCATCCACCTTTCCTCTTAACCCTGTTTGACTTTAAGCCATCGCTGACGTGATGGTGTGTATTTCCTTAGATACTTGTTTATTGTTACTGTATGGTTTCCGCACTGGAAGGGGATCATGTCTGTCACCCTGAGCCCCGGGGCCTCCAGGAGGGCTGTGTACACAGTTGGTGCTCCGTAAGTGCCGAGGAGTGGCTCTTTCAGGCTGCCTCCTCTGTTAGTCATTCCTCCCGCCCGAGCTCCCTTGCTGCCCACACCGTTCCCAGACAGCACCTCCCCCGGGAAGCCGACTCGGACCTCCGGGTCTCGTCTCCTCTCTCCCCGCTCAGCTGTTTTCTCCCCACCCCCTCTCAGGTGCTCTGGAAGGTTCTGGTTTCCAGGGGTCTGTCTCCTGCCACTCCCTCTACAGACCCTGCTTAGATGTCAGCAGGTCAGCAGCGAGCAGGCCAGCTGGCCCAGGGAGGCAGGGGTGGCCCAGGAGGGTGTGGGCCCCCGGGCTGGGGCGGTGCAGGAGGAGAGGAAGCAGGGCTCTGGGCTTCCTCCGGTGTCCTGATGCTGCGTCCTGCTGCCCGGGCTGTGTGGCCTCGGCCGCGCTCTAAGCCTGCGTGGGCATCGACGGGCGAGGACTGTGCGCAGCCTATGCCCTCGCATTGCAGTGAAGTGGGGGGCGATCTCGGAGCCCCGGCCTGGTGCCGGGCTGCAGGTCCCCTCTCTCCTGAGCCCCAGCTGCTCCCCAGCCCCAGCCCCAGCCCAGAGCCCTCGGGGGTCTGCAGAGGGCCCTGATGAGGCGGGGTACAGCTGGTTGGGGAGCAGGCCCAGCCCCTGCCTTCGCACTGCGGCCTCCTGCTGCCAGGGGCCTCTGGGGCCCTGGGCTCTGCGATCTGGGGCACTGCTTTGCTCTCAGGGCCCAGGTTCACGTTTTTCTCTTCCCTGGGCTCAGGGGACGGGGCCGTGGGCGTGGCCTGTGATGAGGGCCCCCACCCGGGCTGGGGCTGTCTCAGGAGCCTGAGCCCAGCCACAGCGCTAGGTGTGCAGGGCATAGAACGCAAGGTGGTGGTGGGGGATGGGACCCAGGAGCTAGGGCCTGGCCAGATGAACGTTCTTGATCCCTCTGTCTTCTTTCTGTCCACCAGTGTTCGCCTGTTTGTGCTCTGGCTCCATGACCCTCAGGTGCCTGGCCGTCTTGTGCCTCAGTTTCTCCATCTGTCAGCTGCAGTGTTTTGAGGGTTAAATGAGCTAGTTCATACCCTTGGTGCGGAGCTGAGTAATTGGAAGTGTGAGCGATTACTATCCACCATCTGCTCTCCAGAGGCGTTCGGGGCGCACCCTATCTGTGCTGAGTTGTGCAGGGAGCCCCGCAGATGCAGCTTCCGCTGCCCCTGGGGTCTGATGGGGGTGGAGGGCGCTGAGCAGATAAACAGCCGTGGGCGAGAAGTGTGTGAAGGTGGGTGACAGGCGGTGCTGTGCGTGGGGATCTGGCTGCTTGGTGGAACATCTGTGTTAAAAAGTGGGATTTGGATCTGGCTGCTGTTGCAGGGGAGAGCTGGGGGCGGGGTATCCCCAGTCACGGTGGGGCCCTGGATGGAGAAGCTGGGGGCGATGGTAGCAGGGCAGACCCTGCAGGAGGCTGCGATGGGCCGGAAGTGACCCCCTAGCCATGTTGCCATGGCAGCCTGGGGCCTGGGGAAGGAGGTTTCCAGCCGTTGCCCGAGGCCCTGACTTAGGTCGGGGGTCCTGTGTAGGAGCAGAGCTGTGCCAGGATCCAGGCTGCCTCGGCGGGCCAGCCTTGCCTCTGAGCACCTCCAGATGTGGCCTAATGGAAGCCACATGCCGGCGCCCTGGGCTGGGAGAGGGAGCCTGGCGTCTGTTGTCACTGCAGGGCTTGGGGTGCACAGCCTTTCTTGTTGAGCTGGTAGCTCCGTCCCCTCCCGTAGGGAGACCCCTGGGCGGCCCTCAGGAGGTCTGGGAGGCGGCCCCCGACCTGGACCAAGCCCCCCACAGCCGCGGTGTGGCGGGAAGGTAGGGCCGGATGGGACCCTTTGCTTGAGGCCTCCAGTTCCCAGATTCTCCAGGGCAGGGGTCTCCGGCTGTTGGGACGCCCTGGACGGCTGAGAAATTCCGCTGCAGACACCACGTAGCACTGTGACTTGTGCCAGGCGCTGCCGGGAGAACTGTGGTGATTAAGCCCTTCCACCCCCACAGCAGCCCTGATTGGTTTCTGGGAGGGGCAAGTGAGCCTCGCAGAGCTCAGGCCCCTTGCCTGTGGGCACGTGGGAGCAAAGTGGTGGCACCAGGTTCCTCTGGCATCTTCCCGTCCTTTCCCCTGACTCTTCTTTCCCCTGACTGTCATTTCGCAGTGCCCAGGCTGCATTTGTGCTGGGCAGTTGCAGACAGAACCTGCCCTTGGGGAGCTCAGGCCCTGGCAGGGGAGATGGAGACCCCAGCAATCAGATGGGTGTGGTTCCGAGCTGGATCCTGCTGGGGAATGAGGCGGGGTGCGCTGTGAGCCTGCTGGTGGGATGGAGGATGTGCATAGCGTCCGTGCAGATGGTACGCCATTTTCTGTGGGGACTTGGACAGGTTTGAGGACCTGTGGGAGGGTCCTGGAGGAAAGTGGGACTTGGATCTCAGAGCCCCCTGGCTGCTATGGGGGGCATCCAGAACGCCCTGGCAGGGTCCAGGGCATGTGCCAGGGTCTGTCTCTCGGTGGCAGTTACTGGGGCCTTGGACATCACCCCCCGAGCCCTGTTGCCTTAGGAGGTGCTGAGCACTCAGGGCTGCAGCTGTTTTGAGGACCAATGAGGAGGCCGTGCCTAGGCCGCCCAGGTGAGGAGGAATGCGAGGTGGAGCCACAAGCTTGGGGCCAGTCACAGGTGTTCCCTGTGTGCTGCAGTGGCTGCTAGTCACTCTGTGTTCCCGTGACCATTGGTACTGTGAGCGGCCGTGCTATGACTGAGGCAGGTCCCCAGAAGGAAGTGCTGGCCCCAGTGCCTCTGGGAATGTGGCAGCCATGTGGGTGGGAACATGGCCTATTAGACATCATGGGAACCTGGGGATGAGGCGGAGAAAGGGCTTGCTGTCTGCCAAACCCTGAAAATGGCAGAAAAGCCCCTGGCCCTGGCTGACATTTGTCCCGTCCATACAGTGGACTGTCTCCATGGCTTCTCAGGGTCACCACTCCAGGGCAGGTGTCCTGAGCAAAGGACCAGGATCCGGCTGCCAGCCAGGTGGGCTGGCAATGACACCAAGGCGACCACAGACTGAGTCTTCCAAATCCATAAGCCCAAAGAAATCCTTCTTACTTTATTTATTTATTTATTTATTTATTTTGGTTTTTTTGTCCTGTACCAGGAACCGAACTCACGACCTTGCGCTTGCCAGGCAGGCGCTTTACCGCTGAGCTAAATCCCCAGCCCCTCCTTCTTACTTTAAATTGATTTTTTCGGATGTTTTATTCCAGCGACGAAAAGCTGACACCCACAGAACCCCTTCCAGTGCCTTATGTGGTGGTGCATGCCTGTAGTTCCAGCACTGGGGAGGCTGAGGCGGGAGGATCACTGAGAGTTCAAAGCCAGCTTGGACTACATAGTGAGCTCAAGGCTAGCCTGCACTACATAGGGATACAGTGTCCCAAAAAGTCAAAAGGAGGAATCCCTTTCTGTAAGACAGAAACATGAGCCCTACCCACAGTCCAGGCCAAGTGTGTGTGAGCCCAGCTCAGAACCCAGATCTGTTGGGGCCTTAACGTTGCATTTCTTGCCTGGTTCCTGGATAGCTGCCCAACCTGGGTGCTGGCCTGTTCCCTGGCTCACTATGTGACCACTGGGCACATTGCTTAATTGTCCTGGGCCTGGACAATTCTCTCCGTAAGAGGGCTTGCACCAGCTGTGCTCTCTGTTGGAAGAAGCTGCCCGGCCCCATGTGTTGGGCTTGTCACACAGTAGAGCTGTGCTCACAGTGGGTGCCTGGGTGCACTGCTGAGGCTGGGTCATGCCTGGTATCCTTTGCCTCGTGTGTGCCTGGCCTTGCAGAGTCTGGGATGCCCTAGGCTCCGAGCTGTGGCTTTCTATTGTCGGCGCATCTGCTTGCCAGCACTGCCTAGGCTGGGCCTGGCTTGGGTGGCCTCTGGCTCCCGTGTCCTGCAGCGCTCAGAGTCTTCAGGGAGGCTTCCCTCTGGCTGAGGTCAGCACTGCATGGGCCAGCGCTTTGCAGGGACCTCCACCCCTGTGTCCATGCTGGGAAAGGTGTCTCGGGCCAACTCACAGCCTGGCTCTGAGAGTGAATTCCCGCCTCTGCCTTCCCAGCTGTGTGACCTCAGGCAAGTGACGCACCCTCTCTGAGCCTCAGTTTCGACCTCCTAAGATGTTGGTGATAATCTCAGGATTACTGGGTGGGTGAGTGAGACTTGAGCTGGCCTGGAGCAGCGCCCAGGGCCACAAGTCCCCTTCCTTTCCCTGCCAGGGGATCGCTGGGCTCAGGCTCTGGTCGGGGCTGGGTTTGTGTTTTTGTTGAAGTGAACAAATGTATGTCTTTGCTGTGGGTCAGAAGCTCTTGAAAGAGCCAAGGGCCAGGCCTGCTGGGGCTGGGCGGGAGGTGCTCAGCCCTTGCTTCCTGCCCCGGCCGGTGTTTGTCGTGCAGCTGCTCCACAAGCTCTC